CACTCAAATTTCTACAACTATTATTGCGATTATTTTTATTATTCTGAGAGGCTGTGTGGTTAAGCTTTGGAGTTTAAATCCTTGATCTGCTACTGATTGCATGCATGATCTCTGTAAGCAACTTAACATCTCTGAAGTACAATTTTCTCATCTAAAAGGAAATAAACTGAAAAGGAGACAATTGGGGAATCTGAACATTAATTGTTAAGTGTTAGCATCAGACTTGATGATGTTAAGGAATTATTAATTTAAATGGTGTGATAATGAGATTGTGACTGTTTTTTAAAAAGTTATCTTTTAGAAGAAATCCTAATCTATGGACAAAAACCAATGTGTTAGCTGGATTTGGCTGAAAATAATCCATGCTATGGATGCAATGTAATCCATGCTATGGATGCAATGTAATGCAATGGGAATGGATGCAAGTAGAGATGATTATTATTATGCCTTTGATAACAGTTGAAGTTGGTGAAGATGGCTTAAGGGGTTCACTATACTAGTCTCACTACTTTTATATATGTTTGAAATTGTTTATAATTTAACAAAAAAGACTAATATCACATGCCTTGAAGAACTGTTTGGGAGCACTCCCACACAGTGCCTGGTGCAATCGTGGGTAGTCAATAAAATGTTAGTAAGAGGTTGCAGTTTCCATTTTCACTTAGAAAAGAAAAATGTGGCCGGGTGCAGTGGCTCACACCTGTAATGCCAGCTCTTTGGGAAGTTGAGGCAGGAGGGCTGTTTGAGCCCAGGATCTCGAGATCAGCCTGGGTAACATGGTGAGACCCCATCCCTATAAAAAATAGAAAATTAGCTGGGTGTAATGGTGCACATGACAGTAAGACCCAGCTACTTGGGAGGATCACCACTGCATTCCAACCAGTGTGATAAAGCAAGATTCTGTTAAAAAAAAAAAAAAAGAAAGAAAGAAACTAAAAGAAAAATGTATTTCCTCTGCAATTGAAAGTTGTTTGTTTCTTATTCTTTCTGCTCTGGAAATTCTAACAGGTTTGAATATCTCATTTCCAAATTTAAAGGTAGATAAAGCCAATGGTGTCTTATCGTAGGTGATTTTGTATGTCAAAATTTTTCACACACAAAAAAGCAGTGAGAGTGATTCTTACCCTGGATTTGCTGGAGGAGCTTTGCATTCAGTTGTTCTACCTCACCAAGAGTCATCGAATTCACTGAAACATGAAAATGTATTCACTATTACCACAACAACCTAGGAAAACATGCAGCTTACATCACCAACACAATATCCTATTTTTTAAAATCTGCACTTAACTGTCAACACAACATTCAGCAGTACTCCAGCATTAAACCATTAATGCTCTTAAGTGTGGAGGAGACGTTTTCAAACCCTGACCACAACCCATGGTAAGAAACTTTTATTTTTATTCTGTCTTGAGACAGGGTCTCGCTCTGTCACCTCGTTGGGAGTGCAGTGGTGTGATCAATGGCTCACTGTTGCCTCAACCTCCTGGGCTCAAGTGATTGCTCCCACCTCAGCCTCCCTAGAAGCTGGAACCATAGACGTGTGCCACCACACCTCGTTTTTTAATTTTTTGTAGAGATGGGGTCTTGCTATGTTGTCTAGGCTGGTCTTGAACTCCTGGGTTCCAGTGATCCTCGCACCTTGGCCTCCCAAAGTGCTGGGATTATAGGTGTCAGCCATTGTGCCTGGCCAGAAACATATTTTTTTAATCACTTCCAGTACACCACCACCCTCCAATGAAACAAAAGTTTCACCAAAAAATACTTAGTAGTAGGTGCAATGAATTCTGGTATCTCCTATTCTGTTTCAGTTTTTAAAAAGTGTTAAGTCACTACCCATTAAGCTTATTTTGATTAAGCATTACACAGCTTATAATATGCAGTTTGAAACATCAATTTGTCTATCTAGATATACAATCTTAAATAATTCACATTTAGAATCAAGAAGTTGTATAACAAGATATCAGAGGTCCCTTCTGGCTCTGAAATCATGATTTCAAGACAATTAAAATCACCTCAGCTTCTGTAAATTTTTGTAGAAATAGATGTAGAGAGAATGAATCACCCTTTCTAACTTTACAGTAAGTGCACACATTACCTTTGGCCTTTAGTAAAATGTCAGATTTTTGCTTTTGAAATGCCACCACCAGTCAACAAGACACATGCCTACATCAGTCTTGTAGGGATCAGCAACATGACAATGTATATTAGCCAATAGATGAAGCTGTACTTCTAAACTATACGAGTCCTGGATGTTCCAATTCACAGTCTGTTGATTCCATTTAGTGTAATCATTTTATATGGCAAAACAAACATGGAAACTGCTGAACTTCAATGCTTAGAAGACAGAATTCCAGTGAATGAAAAGTTTTAAGATGCCTCATTTTTGCTAAGGTGAACCTGTTACCAAATCTACGTTTCCACAGCAAAATTCTTGACCCATTACACATTTATATAAATGTATAAAAATCCCAAACCACCCAACTGTTACTTTTCTCCCCATTTTACTTACATTCCTCTCTGCTGTAATGTGGATGCTGGGTCTGGACATCAGCCTCTGGACTAGAGATTGTCTCTTCTTTTTTCTGCGCCTGGTTGTGACTATGAGGCCACAATACACTGTTATGACATAAAGTGGCACCTGAATCTTGTAACATAGCAAGTCCAAAGTCTGTATTTTCCCTCTGCTCCAAAATTCTTTGTGTACAGTTAGAGATGCCACCTGCACTTCCATCTATCCATTTTGCAGAATATTTTGGTACTTGGGAGTCAAACTGTGGGAGTAATTTTTCTTCTGGCTTATGCCTGAAATTAAACAGATGCTGCTGGGGGTTTTTAGAACATTCCGAATCTGAATCCAGATCCTTATTTTGTGCATACTGTACAATCCAGTTTATCTTCTTACTCAAAATGGTTTTAACTTCTTCGTAAGTACTTTTTGAAAGCTTAGATCGAGGACAACCCTGGTTTGCAATTAAATGATATTTTTCAAAGCAGTCTTTATGGCCCCTTAATGATGTGGTGTGCAAGAGATCAGACTTTGGTACCCCTATGGAAAAAAAAGAGAAACAAAAGACTTGAGAAATTTTGTTTTCTATAAGTCACTTTAAGAATATACAAATCTTAGTAAAATCACAGAGTCCTTGATAGTCTGCGAAATAGAGGGAAAATGCTAAAGAACATTAGTATTAACATACAATGTGGCCTAATAATTTCTGCTTAAATTTAATTCAATATTCAGTAATATTAAATTCTTAAGGATAGCAAAACCTAAAAACTTAATTATTCAATTTTAATCTTGGTCCAGAGATGTTACTGCACAATATAAAAAAATACTACTGAACCCAGCAATTTACCTTTACAGATTCTTGGCCTTTACATTACAGTGCTTTCTTCATTAAACCTGAAGTACACACTTGCAAAAGTGTCTATAATATTATGAGGTTCAATAACAGAAATGCTCAACAAGTCTCCCCCGCAAAACACAGTAAATAATGTTCTTAAATTGTGCTATGTTTACTGAAGAAAAATAAACCAGAACCAGAAAAATACAAATTAATAAAAGTCAAAAAGTAAAAAAACTATTTAGATTTATTTTTAAAGAAAATCAAAGCATCTAACATTTTTCACATTTCCATTTTATAGTTACTAAAACTTTATCAAGATAATTTTATTTTCTAGAAGAAATGCATTATACACAATCATTTTTCATATAGCAATAGATTCAATCTGCCAAGATCCAATAGCCAGTAATTCCTCAACTCACAAATATTCAATATATCATAAATAACAGAAATATTACTTTTTATATCTCCCAACTTAGTAGAGTGTAAGTATGCTACCTCAATTGTTTTTTAAAAATATAAAATACATTTGCAAATATCTAATACATTTCAAAATATAGAATATATTCACACATATTTATAAGTTCAAGCCATATTATTAAAGTCAAACAGCACTACTTTTATAATGAAGGTGAATCAGGAATGTGGACCTGAAAATTTATGTCTGCCAGAACTAACCAGTTTAAATCTGCTTAGCTTTTTAAATGGAGTAAGCGGAGAGCCACTCAGGAGCTAGTTTTAAAAAAACTTTTAGCTGATTCATCAGAAAAAAATATATTTTGCAATTCATCCTTTGCTTTGAAAATTGAACTCACAGTGGTTTTATTACTTGAACTCCAAAGTCTGGCTAAAAGAAAGATAATGACACATTTGCACTTTAATGGTATGAAATCAAGTATTAACATACTTGTGAATATTAATGTTTAAAAAATATATAATATCAGCCAATGGTGGGACCTGATGAGACTGTCAAAACCAAGTGTTAAATTGGTTATCAGTTCCCTCAACAGTTACTGTAAGCTGTGAGAACACACCTCCAAAACACATTCGTATTATAAGCACATGTAAACAACGGCTCTCATGAGGTAAACTCAAATATCTGAGCCTTGTTTCTTCCAATGAGCTCAGAAATTGCTAGAAACTTTAATAGAATACACATTTTATTTATCACGTTGCTCCTTGTACTGCAATTGTGATCATGTATACATTTCTACCAGTTATTATCTGATTAGGTCAAATTTCCAGCAACATTAGAACACATACATTATAAATCTCAAAGCTTTATTTAATAATAAAGTATACATCTTCAAAAATGGGTAAACTGACATAAAAAGGAAGTTCACAAGCCCTGCTTCATTAAAAGTTGTATTATTATGCATTTTAGATAATAAGACAAAAACAGTAGTTATCACAAGTTATACACCAAAGGAAAAATGGTTCCATTCTGCTATCTGATTCCAATGATTAGCTTTCTGGGAAACACTGGTATGCACAGAGAACCTGAAGCTTGCCTATTAGTAACTGGAACATTTATTAAAGAGCTCCCCTACTGTCTGCAAACTATTTTAGGTCTTGTTGCCAACAGATGGTTAGCTAATCCCTCAGAACAGTAAATGGTCTCATTCTCAGTGCACTGCCTCAGCTCTCTGTAGCAATGATTTAGCTGAATGTAAATATAGTAATTTGTAAGTTTCTCCTCCAGTTTATATGAAATGAAATTCTTTAGCATATAAAAAAAGTTGTGAACTAGGCTATGGAAAGTAATATTTATTGTTAAATTTTGTGGGGTTTTTAGTATTTATACAGAAACTCCAAAACAAGATGAAAAATTACATTAAATAACTAATTTTCTGATGTACTCTAGAGCTTCAACAACTGGTCATTGTAACAGATATCTATTTGAAGAATAATATGGACTTTTAAAGTTTTTTTATCTACTGTTTCTTCTTAATGATTCATGTAATATAATTTCTGCTTAGATGTACCTATTGGCTCCTTGAACTCACCATACTGAACATTAACTACTCTTCCTCTCTCCCCATGCAACTCCAAAGCCAATCCTCTTACTGCGTCTGGCATCACCAACTGCTCAAGGAAGAAACTTGGGTGTCCTCCTTGAAAGCTCTTCACTCCCCACAATCCCATAGGTTTTGCTGTCTTAACAGATTCCCCCGCCCCCCACATAAAATCTAGCACCTACAAGATCTGAAATCCTTCTGCTTCACTCCAGCACCACTCCCACTACAAATGTGGGTCATGATCATCATCATCTCCTGTTTAGTTTCTCATTTCCCCTAAGAAGCCTTGTTTAACCCAAACATCTGGGTTAGTTTATCACACTAGATTTTACAATTGCCTCTTTCCTGGCCTGTAATTCCTGACAAAATGTAGGTTCTGTGAAAAATACAGACCATATCTCTTACTCATATATTCTCAGTGTCAAAATGCCTGGCACATAGTGGGTACTCAAAAGTAGTTAAATGCATAAAAGAAAATTAAAAATATATTTTAAAACACCAAAAACAAACCAATTATCACTCAAGGTCCCTCCTAACAAGGAAACCAGAATTTGCAGTTCTGCCAGGCTGCTCAGCGGGTAATTAAAGGCATCTTTCAGTGAAGTTACTCCTATATTTAGCCTAATGGGCTATTAGTCTAAAGAACATATCAGTGGCACTGATACAGAAATGGCATTCCTGTGGCATCATTCAATCTTCCAAAGAAAATCATGAATTTCTACTCGATTATGTATTTTTTAAATAGAAATTTACATACAGAAAATATACAAGATGACGGTTTTATGTTAACTGTAGCTCATTCATCTAGATAGGTACCTCTAATTTATTCAGTTACATCAGTCATACTGAAATTTAAAAACTGAGTTAAAGACTGAGTTTTAAAGTTCAGTTCGAAACATTTGTTTTGTAAACATATTTTAAAATATCTTGTGCAGCAGTAGCAGAGGAAACAAAAACTTCCGTAATACACTGACTACTTCATATACTTGAAAAAAACTACTTTTTAATCTAGAAAACAATGTGAGTAGCTCACTTAATTTGCATCAGTAATACACATATCATTTTATAAACTCTTGGCGTGATTTGTTTTTTCCTGCCTCATCAGTTCAAGTTATTATAGCAGAAACAACCATTGCTATTATCAAAAGATCTCAGTGAGTTTCCCAATTGACTTTTCAATTTTAACTGCATTTACAAGCGTAAACAGCTTTGAGCACTAATTTGTTTCCTAAGCAGCTTTTGAAAGGGAATGAATCTAAATGCAACACAATCAGCTGATACTTTTGAGGAGCTGAGTTATAAGAATTTCCAAGCCAGTTCAACCAAGATTGTACTCCAATTTGCTTGTTAATAAAAATTTTGAAGGCCAACGTAATTGACTTCCTATTATAAAAACATCTTTAAGACACTTCAAAGATATCCATGTCACTTTTTTAAATCATAAAGTCATTATGAGAGAACTAAGACCTTAATTGGCAACCAAAAGTTTTAATCTTATTTATTTTTTTTAAAGTATGGATTTCTCAACGGATGCTGGAGAGGATGTGGAGAAACAGGAATGCTTTTACACTGTTGGTGGGAGTGTAAATTAGTTCAACCACTGTGGACTAACTGTGGAAGACAGTGTAGTGATTCCTCAAGGATCTAGAACCAGAAATAGCATTTCACCCAGCAACCTCATTACCGGGTATATACCCAAAGGATTACAAATCATTCTACTATAAAGACACATGCACACATATGTTTATCACGGCACTATTCACAATAGCAAAGACATGTAACCAACCCAAATGACCATGAATGACAGACTGGATAAAGAAAATGTGACTAATATACACCGTGGAATACTATGCAGCCATAAAAAAGGATGAATTCATGTTTAACACAGGAACAGAAAACAAAACACTGCATGTTCTTACTCATACTGGGAGTTGAACAATGAGAACACATGGACACATCGAAGGGAACATCACACACCGGGGCCTGTCGGGGTGTGGGGGGGCTAGGGGTAGGATAGCATTAGGAGAAATACCTAATGCAGGTGTCGGGTTAATGGGTGCAGCAAACCACCATGACATGTGTATACCTATGTAAAAAACTTGCATGCTCTGCACACGTATCCCAGAACTTAAAAGTATTTAAAAAAAAAAAAAAAAAAGTATGGGTTTCTTCCGGTTAAGAGGCTATTCCTATTCAATAATTTTATTTTTCTTTTATCTTTTCCCATTTTATCTGAGTTTTTATACTATTATTTTATACTTTGAAAACCCTACCTGTAACCCATCTGGCATGCTATCCCTACCTCTATCCTTTAAGTTCCTCTTTAAAATAAATTTGCTTTAAGAAAACTTGGTAAAATCCATCCTAAAAGTGCAAAGACTACTCAAATGTTTAGATGTTTAGCTCTAGTTACCACCATTACTCTTATTTTTTAATTTTTTTGAGACGGAATCTCAATGTTTGTCACCCAGGCTGGAGTGCAGTGGTACAATTTCAGCTCACTGCAACCTCTGCCTCCTGGGTTCAAGCAATTATCATGCCCCAGCCCCCCAAGTAGCTTGGACCACCCAGTTAATTTTTGTGTTTTTAGTAGAGATGGAGTTTCACCATGTTAGCCAGGCTGGTCTCAAACTCCAGACCTCAGGTGATCCACCTGCCTCAGTCTAGCAAAGTGCTGGGATTACATG